ACAAATGATTAATTCTACGCGAATGAAGTCGCGGGTACACACTAGTTACAAATAATCTCAATAAAAAGAAAATTACTGTAGTAGTATTTATTGACTTAAAGAAAGCTTTTGACACCATATCTAAAGACAAATTAAATGAAAAATTACAAAAATACAAACTGAATCAACACATACTAGAACTAACGGAAAGCTATTTAAAAAATCGACCACAAAAAATTTGCGACCACAAAAAAAATTGAAAATATTGAAAGTAAAACTACCATGGCGCCATATGGGATACCGCAAGGCGGAAATCTACCACCTCTCATGTATATCCTTTATACAAACAATTTAAATGGCGTCATATATGGTTATGCCGACGATACATGTTTAGTATATACAGGAACAGATCAGAACATCCTTAAAACAAACATCAACAAAGACCTGCAAAAAGTGCAAACATGGTGCTACAACAATCTCCTAACCATAAACGAGCTAAAAACAGAATATATGATATTTAAAACCGCAAAACAAAAATTAAACTTACAAATAAAACTACAAAACCATATTCTACGAGAAACATCAACAATCAACTATTTAAGGTTAAAAATACAAAATAATTTGAAATGGGATGCTCATGTAGTAAAGCTGAAAAATGAAAATATACGCACAATTGCAGCTTTAGTAAAAATTCAAAAATTGATACCAAATAACATGAGGAAACCTTTATATCACGCACTGTTCGCACTGTACCTCAAGGATGAACTATTTAATGAATATATGAGTAATACGACCGAAAAGAATTTAAACCCATTGCAACGTCAACAAAATAAAATTTTCAGATTAATATATAAATTACACAAAAGAACACCAACATACATATTATTTGATACAGTGCAAGAACTAGATATAAAACAATTAATACTTTTTAATAGCTTGCCACTGCTATATAAAATAAAAAACAATACTATAAAAACGAATATTAAATTAAATACAAACAAGGAAGTTCACAATTACCAAACAAGAAGAAATTCACATATTAGAAGCCACAAAGTAAAAAATAAGACATTAACACAGAGACTAACAACAAAAACAATTCAAACATTCAATAGTTTAGCATAGGAGGTAAAAAAATTGAAATTTATACAAATCAAAAAGAGGATTAAATGGTTAATATTAAATAGAACCCTACACTAAATCCAGAAATCGACGACAAAAACAATTAAGAAAAGAATGCCTTCGATACCATCTGACCAGGATCTGGTACGAACAGGTCACTGATACTGCGACAGATGAAGAAGGACGACACCCAGATCTTCTATGATATGTATATGCTGTACATTATTTATGTGTTGTATATTAGTTTTATATGAGGGAATAAATAAATTGATTAAAAAAAATAAAAATCGCCCTGTATTTCGAAGAAATCAAGAGATGGGATATATGTGTGTGTAACATTTATTTTCATAAAAAAGCATAGTACTTTACTCATAAATGTTATAAAACACATGAGAATGGGACACCCTGGATAGCGAAAAATCCAAAAACGGGCAAATAAATGATTTATTTGGCTAATACTTCTAATACTAATTTAATAAATTTTACTTATCTTTGTTTAGATTTAAACATATGAAGAATTATTACAAATTTTTGTAAGCTAAATTAATAATTTAGTTTTTGTTTTATATAAGTTTTACTAAAACATAATAAATACATCAAAAGTAAATAAATTTATGAAAAAAATACGTAAAATATTTTTCCTGCAAGCTTTTTATTCCTTAAAGGCTATTGGTGCCCAGTGTTCCGAAAAAGTTCCATATCAGAGCTTGTTTTACTGGTATTTATTCCTATTTAACAGTACCGCACGATATAAGAATATTATCATAGATATACAGGATGATTCAAATACAGTTTACTCTACAGATGATCTTTTGTTTAAGAATGAAGCTTGAAGAATGTAAGCTTTTTCTCAGAATCCCTATTTCTATGGAATCCTTAATTGAACAAGATGGTACATTAACCCACTTAATTAGCATATAAAAATATAAATGCTCGTGATTTTTATTATTTTAAGAAAAATAGCTGGTAATTAAGTATAATGCTAGCAGTAAATTCTTTATTTTAGAAATCTGCGGGAGCACTTACTTTTCTTCGTTTTGCTACTAATTTAATATTTAGTTAGCAGTCATGACTTTTTTTTAACCCTACGGAACTTAAAAAGGTTATACCAATTTAAAGTCCTAATCATCCAGGGATAGTATCAAGCAAAGGCCACAATAGAGTCGACTTGCATAATATTTTCTCTAATAACGCTACGGGACGCATTTATACATTCCGTACATGTATACCGGCACCTAGCACAATCCCATTGGTCAGATATGAATTTTAAACCAATTAAACTCCGAGTGCCATACGCGAGTATGGAATGTAAAACAGTGCCATGCGCACGGAATGTACCTGGTAATTATGCTTGCAGCAGAAAGTAACGCCTGGCTATAGCTAATCTTGCAAGAGTAGCATAGGTTTTTTTATTTTTTTACAACTGTTTTTATTTTTTAAAAAAAGTTGTAAATATTTAATAGCAATCAAAATACGGATTGCATTGGTTTCACTCTTTTTGGTGAGGTTAGATTGATTATTTGGTGGAGTTAGTTGCGTTAATTAAGATGGTTACTTGGTGGGGTTGATTACGTTGGTTAGCTATTTGGTGGGGTTGATTTGGTTTTGGTTGGAATGCTCTATAACAAAGCGTTAATAGTGAAAGTAAAGTAAAAATAGTCAAGTAAAAGTAAAGTCTAAGGTACATTCCGTAAGTGCATATGGCACTATCTTACATTCCATACTCGTGTATGGCATTCGGAGTTTAATTGGTTTAAAATTCAAACCTCACCAATGGGATTGCTAGGTGCCGTATACATTACAGGAATGTATAAATGCCTACGGGACATCATTATCACTAATAACATAAGGAGATGGACCGGATAAAACTACAGGTTTACCGTGCATTCTAGAACCTAGGCTACATATTGAAAAGGCCTCTTTTGCGTTTATATGCCGGTATTCCAGTCAAATGTAGAATGTAGAATGTTTAGGAGGGTAGTTAATCACCGCGACCTTACAGATCTATTGTGTGTTCGCCTTTCTTGAGTTATAACGAGTTATAACTCATCATACAGTCTCAGGGCTTTAACAAAAGCCAGTATCTGAGACGGCCCCACAGAGGCCAGCTCTCCATCCTCGACATCAACCGTTCATGGCACGAATGGTCGTTGTCTCGGCGCACTCTGTGATAAGGTGTTCTGGTGTTTCCCCATTTTCCCCACAGAATCTGCATTCGCCGTTATTTCTCAGCTTCAGCCTACTGAGGTGTTCGTTGAGGGAACAGTGTCCTGTTAGAAACCCCGTTACAATCCGAAGTTTGTTTTTACTTAAATCAAGGAAAACCTTTGATTTTTCTCGGTCGTAGTCAAATGTTACTAAACTAGTCAAAATTCAGTCTCTATTTTATTTTGTACACAGGAAAGCTTCAAATTGTGAAATTTGTTTAAGAGTAAAATTAGGTACTTTTTCAAAATATGCCTAAAAGTTATGTAGAAAAGAATAAAAATCAGATGTGATATTTAAAGTCTGCAGTACCTAATGATTTTAAATTTTATTTATTTCCTTTAATGAGCTACACTTAAATATTACTGACGTACCTATTTGAAAAATTGCAATTTTTTTTCTAAAGGTTCTGTCATGTTTAGTCTTGGGTAAATTGAATCCTGGAGGGCAGAAAGTAGAATGTAGATTGTTTGGGAGGGACGTTAATTACCGCGACCTTACAAACCTATTGCGTGTCCCCCTTTCTTGAGTTCATAATACAGTCTCAGGGCTTTGACAAAATCCAGTATCTGAAACGGCTTCAAAGAGGCTAGTTCTCCATCTCCGATATCAATCGTGCCAAAGTTGGCACGAATGTTGTTATTTCAGCGCACTCGGTGATGACGTGTTCTGGTGTTCCTCATTTTCCCCACAGAAACTCAATTCGACGTTTTGTCTTAGCTTCAATCTACTGATGTGTTCGTTGAGGAGGCAGTTAAGAGTGTCCTGTTAGAAACCCCGTGACAATCCGAAGATTGTTCTTACTTAAATCAAGGAAAATCTTTGATTTTTCTCGGTCGCAACTCCTGAGAAATTTCTTTGAGTGTCTTAGACCGTCGGAGGATTTTTAACCATTCCAGGTTACGGATAGAGTCTTCCAGGTTTTTGAGTTTCGCTTTAAGTTGGATTTCACTTGGAAAACATTGGTGTTCAAATTTTACCAATTTAGGTGTACTATAAATAATGGCGTCAGAACCTTAGGCAGATTTCGGATTCTTTTTGTTTGAACCCAGTGAGTATTTTATTCCTTTAAGGGAAATGTGTTCTAAGTGACGTCGTTGTTACGTTACCAGACCCATCTTTTGCCTGATATGAAGCAATTAAGCGTAGATACGTAAATGTTCCCTAATGTTCCCTAAATGTGACAACTGGAGAACCCCAGTGCTCAATGGGAACAATTTTGCCCCGTGAATTGTCCTTGACACTGCTAAAATTAACTGGTGAAGCAAGGTAGATCTGTTTTTATTTGTATGCGTAATCTTAATATAACGAACTAGGGCTCGTTTAAGAGAGCGTTCCTTACTCTATACTATACCATATAAACAATGATAATAAGTATTTAACCATTACCCTCACATTACATAAAAAATTGAAATAAAAATCACAACCAAAAACCTAATATAGAGCGTTTGCGAAACGCTGGATCACGCTGTATAATTAATACTTCTTAGTCGAACATCCACGACTGTGCTATGGTTTTAGTCTTATATAAATAGGTTAAGTGTTTTTATGGTGTGTCTAACGTGTTTCACAACGTATAACCTTTTTGGTAAAATGGATTAAAAGTTCACTAATAATTCTATAAGTGGGTGAGAAAAGTGGTAACCCTAAACAATTTTTAATAGTTATTGTTTATCGTATTGATTAATTATACTTACACAGCATTCACGAAATTGTTTGGCGTCAATAGGCGATGTAAAATTTAAACCCCAAGTGTCGTTGGTCATGGGATCTTTCCAGTAAACAAAACATTCCGAAGCTTGTCCTATTCTAGTGCCTAGAATTAAAAAGAAAATTCAAGTTAATTAGTATTCATCGCCAAATTTTCACACAAATCTACAAGAGATCTTTGAAAAGTGAAGCAATGTCTTCTGAGAGTATACAGGGTGAGTCTTAAATGCAATGTGGAAATGTTTTAGGGGTGGTTTATTTTGACACCAGTAACACTTCTATTAGGTTTTTAGCCAAAAAGATGTTGAAAATCGTGCGTTCTCTTTTAAATTTTCCTGTTTATTTTTAGAAATCTTTTTGCTGCCGGTTCACCGCAAATTTTCTCTTTCATGATATTACCATCGTTACAGCTTTACTCTATGGTTACGGCACCTAATTGGGATGCAAATACAGTAGTTCAAAAAATCCGGTGGTTCTCAAAATGTCTTAGAAATAAACAATTTTCTAAAACTTATTTAACTGCAAATATTCAAAGACTCACCCTGTATAGTCAGCTGTGGGCGCGGGAAAGACAGTCTTGAATTATAATAAATGATGAACAAAAATGGTTGAATTCGATATTTAATCGTTTATTATAAATTTATTTACAAGATCTATAAAAAAATATACCATATCTCGTGGGAAGATTCCTCACGTAAAAAGAAGATTTATTTTTTATGTATATCAACATATAGGTCCCATTCTGCTTTGTTTGGTAGCTACAGGAGTTTATAGTTTTCATTTTTTTTCGATTTGTTATAAAGCCAAGTCTAATGGCAACCTTTAAAAATTTTAATGTCATTAAACCGACCTAATCATTAAACTAAAATGTTAAACTGGTAAGTGTTTTGTATTCAATAATTTCTTCTTCTTATCACGGCCTCTCCTGCCGAAGGTTGGCGATCCAAATGGCAATTGTGGCTCTGGAAACTGCAGCCCGGAAGATTTCCGCAGACGAGCGTTTCTTCTTAAATCCTTTAGCCATGAGTTCTGGCGTCTTCCTACTGATCTTTTCCTTTGCACTTTGCCCTCTATTATGAGGCGCAGTATTTCGTATCTACCACCTCTCATCACATGACCCAGGTATTGTATTTTTCTTTCCTTGATGGTGTTCAGTATCTCTTTTGTTTCTGCATGCGCTGGAGTACTTCATCGTGATCCTTTGTACCCATGAGATTCGCAGCATCCGTCTGTACACATACATTTCGAAGGCTTCTATTCTCTTTTCGGTCTGTGAATCCAGGTCCAGCTCTCACATCCATAGAGTAACACAGAGAAGACGTAGCATCTGGCCATTCGAGTTCTGAGTTCCGCACTGAGGTCTCGTCTTCTCGTAAAAAATGATTTCATTCTTACGAAGATTTTTCTCGCTTGCTCAATTCTTGAAAGAGGTCACTTGTTCGATTATTTGTCCCTTGGTCTTAGAAAAGATCAATAGTTTGGTCTTGGAGACATTGAGATGCAGTCCAAACATCTCACTATAGTGGACTACGGAATCTGTAACGCTTTGCAGTTCTTGTATATCATTGGCTATTATAACCGTATCATCGGCATATCTGATATTGTTTATTGGGATTCCATTGAACTTGATTCCACCCAAATTCGATCCAGTGCTTCTCTAAAAATTCAATGATTACCCATCAAAAAATATCAAAAAAAGTTATTATAAACATCGGTGCATGCATAGTTTTAAAGTTACAGACTGTTAAACCTTTTAAAAAATTCTTCTTTTGTAATTATCTTAAATATCACTATTTTTTATTTTTTGTACGTAGCACTGAATATCAGTGTTAAGAAATTTTTCATATTCCGGCACCCTCGGTATTATGATATTTTATTCGATGGAAAATGACACTCTGTGGTCATGACATATCATATGTCAACTTTTGACATTTTCGAATATAGTTTATTTGAAATTGCAACATGCGATTCATAACGACAATTTGACTCGAAATACCAAGTGTGTGGTACCAAATTATTCGTAAAAAAATATTTTTCCAAATATGCTAATGAGGCAACCTCGTTCCTTTTGAAAAAATTGAGACATGATTAAAAATACGATTTGGGCATCTTTTAACTGGCCAGGACAAGACACTAAAAATATTAGGCGATCAAATCTATTTTTCCAAGGCTCCTTGATTAAAAAATATTGTTTTTAACACAACCATGGCATTCTAGATTGAAATTTAAATTACAATTTTGTTTTAAGCGAAAATGTCAAAAGTTGCCATGTGATATGTCATTCAGAGTGTCATTTTCTATCGAATAAAGTAAAAAATACCGAGAGTGCCATTTAAAAATCACAAGTTGTTATCATTTATGGTGAAACAGGAACTGGCCGAAAACAATTGAATATGTCAATCAGACCTAATTTATGTCTTATACTAATATACCAAATCTCGTTTTTTTTTACCTGAAAAATTAAAAGTTATAGGGGTGAGCCACTTTTGAAACGCACCCGGTATATCATAAGATTAAACAACTTATTGCCCTGCAAAGTTTATATATTTTGAAGGGACCAGTTAGAAAACCTACTATAATATTGTAAAATCCTAAAATAAAGAAATTGGCGCTTATCAAACTATTCCCCTGGACCCTTCATTTATTGATTTTATTTTTATTTGAATTTGATTAAATGATTAATAAAATTGCGTTTACCTCATCAAAGAGATCAAAATTGACAATCGATATCAAGATACAACTTTTAATCGATATTAAACAGCTTATACAATTTTTCTAACAAAAGGAAAGGTCAGTGGCGCACATAATTTTTTTCGTAAAAAAAAATCCATATGCACATAATATATGTCCCTGGTGATTCTGTGGACACTTTCTTAACATCCAAACATGGAGCACTTATAGTAATTTTTACACTCAAAATTTCATTCGAATCACTAAAAGCACTTTTTTTGAAACACCCAGTATACGCAAATGTTTGGTACGATGACAACAAACGACTGCATACATTGTGCGTTTTGACTATGATTGATTTATTATGACTTTAATGCCCACTTCACCGTTTGTATAAACTTTGTTTAAAGGTTAAACAGTGGTTAACTATATGATATTTTATTATAGTTAATCACTGTTTAGCCTTTAAACAAAGTTTATAGAAACGGTGCAAGTGGGCATAAATGTAAAAAAATATGACATCAAATCATGACAAGTTTGAAGCTAAATATACTCACCAGGTTGCACTAGCCGGACGTCCAAAATTTTGTCAACCTGCGAATTATAGGCCGTGATATGAAAAACACATTCAGGCGAATCCTGAATACAAGTTATGTTGACTGGCACCAAGTCTTCGCTCACTTGCTGCCATTTTACTGTACCGGCACCGCTTGCTGATACATGAAATACCTCCGCCCATAACCTGCAATATTAAAATAATGATTTAAATTTTATGGAATAAATACAATATGATCGAAAACAAAACGGCGGCGGCGGCAGCAATAGCTATGAAATAAAGGTCGTTATAATTTTATATGTAAAATTATATGGATATACAGGGTGGTCCGAACTGTATTCCGTAATCCTTGGCAGCATATTCTGCAGATAAGAATAAGTAAAAAAGTTCGTATCAATGTATGTTCTAAAATATTTAATTTCGGAGATACAGGGTGTAGAAGTTTCATTTTTATTTTGATTTTTTCCAGATAATATCTGAAGCAACGTCAATATTTGGATGAAAATTGGTATCTGGGAGTTTTTTGACATAATTTGATTTTGATCACAATATGACTCCTACTTGTAGAGGGCGCTACCTTCATGATTTTTAACTGGTTTGAAGAGTAGTAACTTTTTGTCCGTACCTGTATAAAACTACTGAATAAAAAAAATATACATTTACTACGTTTTTTACGTAAAATAGGTCTCTTGGTAAAAACTAGGCTACGAGCAACCATAGTCAAGATATTTAGAATGAAAATAGTCAATACATATCATTATTGGCAAAAAATATACTTGTTGAGTAGATAGTTATTTGACTGAAATGATAAATTTGGGAACTTTTTATTTTTTTTAAATTAATCATAAATTTTAAACAGCTTCTGTTTAACTTTTGACACAAAAACATTTCAAATTTAGGATTCCAGTCTAATAATCTATTTAGTCAACATGTTTAATTTATGTCAAAGACAGGCATTGATAATTTAGATTCTAAATATCTCAAAAAAGAACCATTACTCGTAACGATTTTTGGATTTTTGTCACGAGACTTTTTTACGTAAAAAATATACATTAAGTAAAAAACTCCCAGATACCAATTTTCATCCAAATACTGACGTTACTCCTGAAATTATTTGGAAAAAATCGTAATAAAAATAAAAACTTCTACACCCTGTATCTCCGAAACTAAGTATTTTAGGACATACTATTTATATGAACTTTTTTACTTACTTTTATCTGCAAAATATGCTGCCGAAGTTTCCGGAATACAGTTTGGACCACCCTGTAGAATATCAGTGATAGTCATTTCCAAGCCAACTGGACGCCGTTTTTTGCAATTATACGGACTATGTTTCTATTTATGGTGATTAAACTAACTAATTAATCTTAAAAAAATTAATTATGTACTTATATTCTATCGATTTTTAAAACTGTTTGTTCGTTTATACCAAAATTCTAAAAATAGCACGTATACATTTTCATATAAGATTCCAAAAGTACCATTTTAAATGTATGAATTACATACATACATACATACTGCCATTACTCGCTGACGAGTATTTGACACGCATCAGAAAATGGTCACGCAAGGCGTTTTCTTTCATGAGCTTTTCTATGACTGAAAAGCCCAATACGTGATGTTATTTGTCTGCTGCACTCCGGACATTCAAAAATCTCATTGCTTTGTTGCCTCTTAACTTTTTGGTTGCTGTCAACAATGCTGTCAACTGAGTTTACAATTCTTCTCCATTGAGTTCTATTGTGAACTGCTACTTCCCACTCATTCTGCACGATAATCCCCTTTAAGTTTTCGTGGAAAATGTCGTTGTACCTTTTGAGTTGTCCACCTGGCCTCCTCTTAACGTCTACAAGCTCACCGTAAAGCAGTGATTTTGGTATGCCGTTTTCTTGCATTCTGAATACGTGACCAGCCCATCTTAGTCGGGATTTTGTAACCATGACTTCAATACTCTCGCAGTTAGATTTTTCAAGAACAGATACGTTTGAGACATGATGGAACCATTTGATTCTTAAGAGTTGTCTAAGGTGTCTCTGTTGCAACTTGTTTAATGCGTTCATGTGTCGGCGGTACGGCACCCAGGTTTCGCTCCCATATAACATGGTGGGGATTATTATTGCTCGGTACACTGCAAGTTTCGTTTTTGTGCTCAGGTCATGGTTGTAGAAAACCCTGTTTATTAATTTCCATAATATTCTTGAGGTGCTGCTATCCTGTGCTGAATTTCAGAGTCGATATTGGCCTTTTCCAAAATCAAACTGCCGAGGTAATTGAGTTCCGCTACGTATTCCAGTAGTTCTTCTCCGATTTTTATAGCATTGTTGTAATCATCCGAGTGCACATGATTTTAGTTTTGTCGATGTTTAGCTTAAGGCCCAAAGCCTCGTATGCCCAGATATATGTGTTCAACATTTTTTGTAATATTGTAATTGCTGTACAGTTTCTGCAACTAGAGCGCAGTCATCAGCGTATTGAAGTTCTGTGATGAATTTTGTACGTGTTTTTGCCCTGAGTCTTTTTATGTTGAACAGACCGCCGCGCCGTCGTATCTGTATCTAATGCCCAATCCTCTCTCCTGCAGTTTGCTGTCCACTATAATGGAGAGCGCTGCCATGAATATGTTGAATAGGAGAGGCGCTAATGTAAGCGCAAATGTAGGAATTAAATATTGGGCGACATACAGTGGCGTACATACGAGAGGGATAATGGAGGTAATTACACCTCCAAGAAAGAAATTAATAAATAAGATAAAATGTGGTATAAAATAAAATTTTCACAAAAGAAGTTAATACAAATCAAAGTAAAAATTCCAAAACAATTAAAATATATTTCTTTTCACAGTCGCAGGAACTTTCAGCGAACGTATACTTTAAATTTCATACTTTATTTATATTTATTGCCACTTCCAGACTCAATCTCTAGATGCGCCACTCCCACATATTTTTGGTGCTTATAATTGGTTAAAAATTGAAATTTAAAAGGGTAAATGATAGATCGCCATTAGCTATTCACAGGGTGGCGCTTCTCATACAACGGGGAATCTCCAAGGAGAACGGTAGTTTATATCGAAATGAAATTTTGGGAGCATATGTAGGTTAGTTGAAAGCATTTTATAAAAATATATGGAGTTATAAAGGGTGTCCCTAAAAAAAGTTACTTAACAAAGTTTTGCTTTTTGTAATGGTTTCGTTAGGTTAGGTTACACCAAAACACCTTATATATTAATTGATTTTCAGATTCGAGGATAAAAATAAAGGTGAGTTTTATTAAAGCCTAAAATGTAAGGATTGTGACATATTTCACATTTTGTGAAAATGAGGAGTAAAGTTTAAATTTCAATAATAGCTACCTATTTTTTAATACACACTGTATAGCCTCATATTTAATTGCAGTAAGCATTGTAAGATAAAATAAATTAAAATTTGACACGAAAATTAATACAGGGTGAGTGACAGAAATTAATGTGGAATTGGTAATTGGTTAAAAGCAAGTTACTCCTTTATTTTAAATGGAACACCCAGTATATTATTCCTGTGTTCAATGGAGAATTCATATATCTTCATAATATTTTCAAGGCTGCCTACCCCCAGTGGCGGATACAGAGGGGGGGCCCATAGGGCCCGCCCCCCCCCCCACAAAATCTGTAAGTTGGGTTAAATATTAGACTTTTGGGTTAAAAATTGAGCCCTAAAAGGCATATTTTGCATTATTTTTTATTTGCCCCCCCCCCCTAAAATAAATTTCTCTATCCGCCCCTGCCTACCCCTCAGACAAAGATTTTCACAGATATTTTAATTTTTTTGATTTCGCGTTAGTAGGTCTTTATTATTTGAAAAAATCCAGGTGGCTGTGATATGCTTTTTGTTAATGTAACAAAAATTAAAGGATGCAGAGTAAAATACTCAACGGTAATAAAAAGATACACGCTTAAAACACATTTTAATCATAGTATTAAAACTAGATATGAACCTATAATTATGTAACAAAAATTGGCTAGATGAAATCAAAGCTCAAGATGCTTCCTTTTCTGTTCACTGCATAAAATGACTCTTTTTTCAAAAGATCTTTTCTTTTTAAAGGCATACCTATTAGAGTTCTACTTCGAAAAACAGCTACAGTCATTTCTCTCATGTTGTCGAGAATAGTTTAGAGTTTTGTAAACACTGTTTTTAACATATCCCTTTAATAAAAATCCCCGATAAAAGCCCACTAGATAAAATCAGGAGCATTTAAGTAATCTATTAATTGGTAAATGCACGCTGCCATTCACCAACTAACAGAATCATAGCAATTCTGTCTGCTGTAGGATGTTTGCATTTTCGGCAAATTTCTGAATTTTTTTTTTGTTTTAACGGACGGAAAATGATAAATAGTTGTTAAAGTTGAACTAATTAGACAGCTATGTTAAAGTAACGTTAGAGCTTTAAGTAACGTCAGTAAAAGTAGTTGTTAAAGTAACGTCAGGAATATCTAGGAAAATCTTTGTTTGAGGGGTAGGCAACCTTAATAGTATTTTAATTTTTGCCATGAATTCCTCATTGATAGTGTGGATTATATGAAAAACATAGTTTCGAGGCTGAGAAATTTATAAAATTACTCGCTGGACAGTATTATTTCGCTGGACACCATATATTCAGATAATGGGTTATCATAGTCTCATTTATTATGACAAAAAGCTGGCAGTCGAAATAGAGATTTTCAATCGATCTCCGACGATGCGTAAATAATAGTTGGTTTATGAATGGATCTTTTGGCTGTCAACGTGGAGTTAAAGTGATTGATACTAATTATTTACCTGCGAAGGTAGAGTGCAGGGAGATTCGCTGGAAGTTAGGTTAGGTTAGGTTAGACGCTTTCGCTTCGAAAGTGAGACGACCCGTGTGCGGACGCTCTAAGAGATAAGCCGGGACCCCATTAAACCACGCCATGTGACGCCAAGCTATCCCACGTGGGTCCATGTAAGCCCACATGTTGCGATGTGGGAAAGAGTGTACACATGAGACCTGAGACAGACGACACACGTGTGATAGCGTGGGATGGCGTGGGGTGGCGTGGCGTGGCGTGCCGTGTTACTACTAGTGTGTACGCAATACATGTAATTAAATGGAAAAACATACGCACAGATCTTTACGACGCGGGGTGGCATGGCACGGCGTTGCGTGTTGGCTAATCGGATCCCGGCATTA